GCGGGAGCGTTAAATCCTTCATAGGTGGTTAGTCTAACGCCACACATCACTTCTGACTTGTTATTCATTCCAGGGAGAGCTTGGGGGTCATTATCCTCATAGGTTATTCCCTCCTCATACCCAGTTAATCTCAAACTGTAGAAATTGGACTCTGCCTCAGAGAACCTGGAGTTAGTCTGGGCAGGTTTATGCCTAGACAGCCACATTTACTGGTCCCCGGCATCTTTCAGTACCAAGAGCAAGTTCTGTTTCAGTGTGAAGCCAAAGCACCAACAGGATATTGTGTCATCTTTCAACTCCTGACATTAATCTCCTTTGCCGATTGTTCACTGACCAAAATGGCACAGACTTTTGTGAGAAAATGTGGCAGTTGAGTTTTTAATTATTATTTCTGTGTCCAAATAAGGGCAAAACCCAGATCCAGAGCTGTAACTACTGAGCTACAGAATTTACATCTGTTGCAATCAATTGCTTCTCTCTCTCATACAGCCTGGAGTGGCCGGCAGGGGGCAGGATTTTAGCTGCAGCATATTGACTGGACTGCAACTGGGAGAAAGGAGTAACAAATACAGGATTGTTCTCAGAGGTTTTCAAAGGTCAAGATTTTCAAACTGAGTAGTAATTTGAAGCGCCTCATTCTGGGTGCCTGACTTGAGTCACCTGAAACGCTCCTGATTTTCTGAGGGCAGGCGGGTATCTGAAAATATTAAGAGTCCTCATCAGTTTCAAGATGGCCTCAAAACTGCTTACACCCAACTTCCACAGGTAGGCAGCAAGTGTTGAACGCCTCCCAGTAGCCAGAATTAGAGGGGTACAAACTTCAGGAAAGCAAGAGTTAAGTTGTTTCAATCAGAGACTGAAAAGTACTGGAGCCCAAGGGGCACTCTATTTTCATTCTAAAGATTTCTGGAGAATGGACTTTTTTAAAGCACGTTTGGATAGCATGTCACAGTGGTGGGGACCCAATCCTGCTTGAGACTAGGTGCTAATCAAATCTGACTCAATCCTGGACCAATGTCAGAAAAGGCAGCTGCAAGGGCCACTTTCATGCTCCAGTACTCGACAGAAAAGCAGGGGTAGAAACAAGAGTGGAATGCTGGCAACCCAGCTTTGAGTTTTCGTCTTGTGTCTTGCAAGCTGCGATACGATGGGCTTTACAATTACAACATTTCAATCACAACTTTGCTTTTCTCCCCAACTTCAAAGGCAACACGGCTTGTGGGACCATCTAGTGCTAGAAATCAATACGGCATGCCATGGGACAGCAACTTGGAAAGCCCATTTTCCAAACAGCAACTATAAATGTTTCCACGGTTCCCCCGGACTTCAACCTTGCTGTAACTCCCTCTGAGGAAAGTTCCCAAATCCATCTCCCACCTACATTTCCACGTCAGACAGAGTGAGCCCTCACCTCTATGGCAGGAACGCTGAGCTGGGTCTGGAGGTTCGGCATGCTGTACAACGTATTGCCCGACTGCTGGTGTTCATGCTGTGGAAAGTTCATCCCTCCGTCCATGGCAGGAGTCGCTGAGGGCATCAGGCTGTCTCCTGCGGCATGAAGTTGTCAGGGCTGGTGGAATATCCTGAGTGGTGGAAGGTTCTTTATCTGTGCTTTTCACCCTGCAGCATGGCCTAACGGAGAAAAGAAATTCTAGTGTCAGCTCGTTGAGTGCAAGGAAATGCATCTAGCTCCATTAATTGAGAGACTGGCTTGTGCTCAGGGTGTGTACAGTCCTGGACCTCACCATGAAGACCAAGGCCTTGTCTTCACTAGGTGTATTCTTAACGTGCGTTAGCTAACTTGGGAACTATCACAAGGTAAAACTCCAGTGAAGATCAATGCTTTCACAAGCATTAACAGACGGAGTTACTATACGAGAGCCTCAGATTTGTCTAGGCCTTGTCTCCACTAAAATTGTTGTTGGCTAACACAAGTTAAGAACACATTTTTTTTCCTAATGAAGATGCACACCCCAGGGCTGGCAACTTACAATCAGTAGAGCAGCAAAGGATTTGGAAAGTGCTGTTAAACCCCAAAGTCTATTTCACACACACAAGGTTTAAAAAGATTCTGATCAGCTGAGAGTCAAACCCAATTGTGAAATGTCTCGGATTTCACAATACCTGCTCATCTTTGTATGACACAAGAGGCGAGGCCTCACTCACCACTGACAGACAATGTGGCAAACTCACATTCTTGGAAAGCAACCGAAATGCAAGGCAGGGCCTTGGGTTAAGTCAATTTGGTACTGACCCTAATGATGGGTAATTAGGATGCATATTAAAACCTGTGCATCACAGGCTCAGTTCTCTCTCACTTGCAGGATAAACGAGGTTAATTGATTACATATTGACGTCATGAACTATAAATCCTGTGTCCGTGATTGTTGGTATCTAGCAAGGCTATGAATTTAAGTACCCAGGCTACAACTAAAGGCGTGCCATATAAACACAATTTATAAAGGGTATGGCTATACCACGCAGTTTTTCCGGGATATCAGAGGTATCCCAGAAGAACTGTTCCATGTCTAGGGAACACGTTTGCTCTTCTGCTTTTTTTTGCGGAAGAGCAAACACTCACCCTTGGGGAAGCCCCTGTGTCCTGTATTCTTCTTTCCACAAAGAATAAGGGGCTTTCAAAAGAGGATTTTTTCCCAACATTTGGCCCAGTCTAGACAGGCCAAATGTCGGAAAAGCCTCTTCCGACAAAAGAATCGAAAAAAGCTACGCAAAATGCATAGCACATTTTGCATAGCTTTTTTCAGAAAAAATAGCAGCAGGGTAGTCGTACCCACAGTGTCTGTGGGTGTGTCTAGACTACAGAGTTTTGTCGACAAAAGTGGACTTTTGTCGACAAAACAATACCTGCGTCTACACTACCGCTGAGTTCTGTCGACATAACATCGACACAACTCAGCAGTTTTGTCGACGCTGGTAAACCTCATTTTATGAGGCATAATGCCTTCTGTCGACAGAGTTTCTGTCGACAGAAGGTGTTATTGCATGTAAACTGTCCTTTGCGTCTACACTACCATGTCAACAAAGCAGCCCATGTCAACAAAGCAGCTTGCTTTGTCGACAGAACTGAATGTAGTGTAGACGTTCTTTGTCGACAGTTTTGTCGACAGTATCTGTCGACAAAACTTCTGTCGACAAAAGCCTGTAGTCTAGACGTACCCTGTAAGGCCTTAAATATGGAGCCCTCTTTTTCTCCAAAGTCTAACCTAACAAAAACCGGCCAATTTGGGTCTCAGGAGGGTGTAGTAGGTCAGGCTACCCCACTCTGGCTGGAATGAGCTCGCACAGAGACCCAGCCAATGAGGAAAAGACTGTTAGAAGGGGCCAATCAAAAGGCAGCTTACTGGGGCAGCCTTGATTATAAAGAGCTCCTCATTAGAGCAGAGCACAGTTGGGTCCTGACCAGGGAGGATGCAGGACATGGGTGCAGAACGACGATGGAGGAGACACCAGCCAGAAGAGGGAGCCCTGAGCTAATTCCTGGCGTAACCAGCAGGAGGCACCATGGTGGTGAGTCTCAACCCCCTTACACTAGGATTTTATATCACTATCGCTACTTCTCTTAGGAGTTTGAAAAATCCACACTCCTGGGAGACACGGCTGTACAGACCTAGCTCCCAGTGCAGACACTGCTAGGATGACGGAAGAATTCCACCAGCTGTCAGGGAGGCGGATTATCGTCACTGACAGGAGAATCCCTCCCGTCCCACAGGCAGGGCCTACACTGAAGCAATGCAGCAGTGCGGCTGTAGCGCAGTAAGTGTAGACTCCCCCCCGTGCTAGACAATTTCCTAGCTAGCACAGGCTTCTGTATCAATGGAGGGACTTGTGAACATGGGGCATTTCTCTTGCATTCCTGGATGCGTGGTTGGCCACCAGTGTAGACTGGCCACCGGCATGCTGCTAATCATGTTCTCTAGCCCTACACTAAGTTCCCTTGAGAGTCCCCATCCAGAGCAAAGAACGAACAAGGAGAGAGCCAGCAGAAGTGGTTAAAAAGACTATATAAATGTTTTGGTGGGTAACTTCATTTCCCATCCCTAAGTGTGGCTTCTCCTCTGTTGCTCTTAGCATACTCATTACTGGAACCCACTCTGAGCCTCTTTTCACTACACTGATGGTAACTCATTTCCAGCAACCTTTACTGAAGCACTGATTGGCTTGGACCAAGTCAAATGACCATTCACTACCTATTCCGCTGGGACCTGGCATACGCTCCCTTAAGTCAGAGGCTGATTTCCATGGCAACTGAACTATCCACCTCTTCTAGTAATTACCACAAATGCAATTGACTGGCCAGCCTGAGTCATGCCAACAATTGTGTAAATCTGTTGCCCACATTTCCAGTATCTCAACCTAGTTCAGTTTCTCTTGCTTTCTTTTTCAGATACCACTTACTAAAAGCTACCTGTGGTATTTCATTGTCACATATTAGCTCCTTTCGGAAGAAGTCGAGATTTCCTTTCTGAGCATCCTACTGATGAGTAACAGCTACACAGCCTAGCTACCAGAACCCCAAAATCACCACAAAAAAGGCAAAGTACATACCTGAGATTTCCCCTTCTCCTAAACTAGTCCTAAACAATGTTTGAGGCTTAAAATACCAACCCTGGGACTCAGTGTTGTCTTAAACAAATTTAGTCACTAAAGTTCCATCACCCTATGCGTCACCCATTAAGGACAACCAATGCGTCCATAGAATAACCCCTGGCTCGGGGACAGGAATTAACCCTGAACAGAATCCAAATGGTTTTCGGCACTTGGGAAGTAACTGGAAGGACATTGTCAACTATCTGTTGCTACACCAGCCACATGCTCTGAGAGGCTTAGAAGGGCACACTTGGGTATAATCTGGCTTCATTCAGGTACAGTTACTGTTATGGTTAAAGCAAACACTGAGAAAAACCTAGGTGCAGGAGAGATTTCCATAATTTCTTTTTGATTTCAACATGACACTTTGCCTCTTCCTTCCCCCCTCCCCACCTCCAAACCCCAGAACCCATTATCCTGCAGTGCTTGCTGCCTGGACATTGCAGTAGCGGATTGGTGCATGAGAACTTGCAAAGTGAAACTAACTAGTGCATTTTCACTGTCCACACTAGATAAAGCAAAAAGGACAGCACAGAAAGTAAAAGGAGTTTAAGTGTACCGTTTTGATCCTTCAATGGTGTCATTTGTCACAAGACATTTTAAAAACCATTTTTGACTCAACAGCATCCCTTCAAAAAGAAGTGGTCTTTCGGGTGGCACGTTTATTCCTGCATTGGAAGGGACAGTGACATGAACAGGACTCGGCATTCAGTTCTGCGTGTACTAGCATCCGTGTCAGGACAGTACTTGGAACAGGGCTAGTCAGCCGGGAGAGCAAAGTGCATTTTGGATTCCAGAGACTGGAGGGATCTTACCTGGATAATGGTAGTCAGCAATCCATGGCTGTAGGGCATGAAGGGCTCCTTTAGGCATCATGATTTTAGGAATGTTAAACTGCGGGTAATTGACTAATCGAATAGTTGATGCATTTTGCATCAACTATTCGACTAGTCGATAGGGCATCTCCACCTTTGAAGTGTAGAAACAGCCCTAAGGCTGTTGCTACACTTTAAAGGCAAAAGCGCCACATGGAGCCTGGAGTTAGCTGGGGACTCCTCACTGACCCCAGGCTCCATGCAGTGCTGCTGCTTTGAAATGCCGCCATGAGAGCCCGGTGTCAGGCTGCTCCAGACTCTGTGGGCCCCCTGCCGGCACAGCTGCTCCAGCCCCCACCAGTTGACCAGAACCAATAAACATTAACCGATAAGCATCATCTGAAATGGGTAGCCATTTAATCTTTCACATTGCAGTGGTTCTCAGCCAGGGATCTGGGGCTCCCTGGAGGGCCGCCATGTAGGGCCGGCATTACACTTGCTGGAGGCCAGGGCAGAAAGCCAAAGCCTCACAGCATGGGGCTGACGGCTGGGGCCCTGGGCCCAGCCACCCAGCGCTGAAGCCAAAGACTGAGCCATTAGCTTTGCAGGGGCCTCTGTGGCATGAGGCCCAGGGCAACTGTCCTGCTTGCTACCCCCAATGCAGGCCCTGGCTTCTTATAGCATGGTGGGGATAAGGAGGGCTCAGAAAGGAAAAGGCTGAGAACCCATCATATCTGACTGCGAGGGTCGTTCTTTTCTCACCCCTAGTTGCTAAAGAAGCCAAGACTGATGAGAACTGGAGCTTGATAGACACATTTCAGACTATTCACTGAAATCCAGCATAGACCAACAGTGACGAGAAGCTGCGGGGAGTGCACACTTTACCCCCATCCCCTCCACCACTGGCACCCGCACCGCCGGGGGCAGGACCTGGCTACGGAAAGTGACCTCTCTGACGATGGCTTCCCCCAAGAAGCATGGCAGAGGAAGAAATACACCCCATGTTTGTAGTTTGCTTACTTTTGTATCCGACAACTCTTGGGAAACCAACCGATTATACAGCGTCAGGGGAGAGAAAAACACTCTGGAGGCTGTGAGAATCTGGGGCTGTAAATCCACAAACATTAGCGCTAAGGCAGGTGTAGTAACGGAAATGACTTTTAGCTCATGTTTTTAAACCCAACTAGATTTCAAGTGAAAAGTGTCCCT